TCGCCACATGCAAGCTGAAGATGTTTCTGCCACATAATTCTGGCTAAACATAGATTTGTGTGAAGAGGAAAAGTGTGCTACGGAGAAGATGGAATGCCCACTTTAAACTTCCCTGAAGAGCAGTCATAGAATTATAGAATTTTAGAGATGGCTGGGACTGTAGAGATGATCTAATCCAATCTCTCTGACCACAGGACAGCTGGTCCTAGTTCCAGTTGTGGCATAACTTATTTTGTGGTCTTGGGCATGTTACCGTATTTCTTTTCTCTGAGCCTCAGAAACATTCTATGATTCACTGTAGAGAAATTTTCTCTAAGGCATCCCTATTAAATGGTCAATCAGCCTGTGCTTGAATACTTCTAGTGTTCTCTAGTCAACCCATTCCATTGTTGAAGAACTCTAAAAGTCCTCCTCCAGAAAATTTTTTCAAAATGAGTTCCTGTAACTTCCACCATTGGTCCTAGTTTTTTCAGTAATAAGGACTAAGTAAAGGAGGACGAATAGTTAAGTGTTGGTTCTGGAATCAGAGCACTTACATTTGAATCCTGACTCTGATACTACAATGTATGACCTTAGGCATATTACTTACTCCACTTGAGTCTCAGTTTTCTCATCTGTAAAATGAGTGGGCTGGCCTAGATTGCTTCTGAGCTCTTGATTCTAAAATCAAATAGACCCTTTTCCTCAGTATGATACTGGAGGGTTTCCTTTGTTCACTCCTCCCTTGTCTAAGGTACTTCCAGGCAATGTTCCTTTTTCATGCAAAAGATGATGAACAACATTTCTCACCATTGCTCACCAATATGATGGTCCTGTTTCCTTCAAAAATGGAGCAGACTCAGATATTTTTAACATGTATCCTTATGCACATTAAACCTGCATTTGGCACTATAGGCTAAATCTTATTACTCATGCCCACATTGTTTTATGTACATATTCTATATTCCAAACAAAATCTTGAGCTCAGAGAGCAAGAATCACCAGGCTTTGCCACTTTTTAAAAATAGATAAATGAAGAAACTTCAAAGAGGTTCTTAAATTATTTTATGTTACTGGAATTTCATTACATTGACTGTTGCTCTAAATAAGTCACTAGCTGAGTGTGGAACTCTTTGTTGCAGAGTTTTTTGGTTTGTTTGTTTTTACTGTAACAGTATTTGTTTTAATGTGATAATTTAACATGGGTGACACATATCACATTGGAAAGACTAATGTATTTGGAGTTGATCAAAGTTAAAATCCCAGATATGTGTGATTTGGGCAAGTCATTTAGTTTCCCTGGGCCTCAGTTTCTTTCTCTGTAAAATTAGGTGGTCGAACTAGCTGACCTCTAACGTCCCTTCCAGTTCTAAATTTAAGATTAGATAAGCCTATAATTCTCTCTAGGAACTAGAATTCTATGGCAAATCCCTTGTAGATTTTGTAGATTAATAACCTTTCTCTATATTTTTCCCCTTGAAGGGCTAGTTATTAGGAAAAGAATGTTTATGTCTACATTTCGGAAACTGTGAGCATTTTCCTAAGATATTCTTTTGAAAATGTCTTTAATTTATAAATTGCCTGTTTCAAAGCATATATGGTCTATCTATTCATTCACAGAAATGTTGCAAGGATATATCTTCTCATTATATAAGAAAACAGTTTCCAAAACAGTGGAGCAAAGGCACTAGTTACTGGAGTAGATTGATATCTATATACATAAAACAATTAGGGAACCATTAATAGGATTTGGCCTATAGTGCCAAAAACAGTTTTCATGTACATGTTCAAAATATGAGTCTATAGCATTTGTGAAAGAACACTACAAACTAGAAGTATTTTTAAATTTCCCTCTACATGAGAAAGTAACATTATCTGGAGTTATTGCAGACTAGGAAGTAGTGAATAGGGGAACCACCAGAGATGGTTAGGGAACAGTGAGAGAAAAGATCCATCTGACTTAGATATAGAGCTGACAGATGTCTTAGAATTTTACCAATGAGGAAACTGAGGTACAGACGATAAGTGATATACTTACGTAGTAAGATATACATAGGTAGTAAGCATCAGAGACAGGATTTGAACTTAGTGCAGGTAGGTGGCTCAGTGGATAGAACCCTGAACTGGAATCAGGAAGACCTGAATGCCGATCTTGCCTCACACACTTAATATCTATGTGACCTTGGGCAAGTCATTTAACCCTATTTGCCTCAGTTCTTCATCTATAAAATGACCTGGAGAAGGAAATGGCAAACCACTTCTGTATCTTTGCCAAGAAAAACCCATGGTCAGTATGGTCCATGGGATCATGAAGCATGGGACACAACTGAACAACATTAACACTCTAATTCCAGAGCCACCCACTGTACCACATGGCCTCCCTACACAGATGATGCAAGGATAAACACATAAATGAGATAAGTTTCATTTAGCCTTACATCATTTCTGCAAACTATGGAAAATAAACGAAGACCCAGGATCATACAAAAGTCAGCCCAGCAAAAGTCAAGCCAAGACAAAACTTCCGAACAAGCTCTTCTAGAGCTCTCCTTAGGCTTTTCTTCACTATTCCTGTTTCCTTAAAAACAATTTCCCAAAGCTTTAACTGATGATCTTACATTGTCTTAATTACAACATAGACTGTAATCTTTTCTTTGACACAATTTCAAAATCATAACGTGTATATCTTATACTAACATGTAGCAACTCAGTTTCTTTCCTCTTCAAATGACTTCCTATTGGTACAGCTAAACCCGGAATGCTCACTTTAATGATCTTACCCTTTTAAAAATATCTACAAATGTGAAATAATTAAAAGCACATGAAACCAAATGGAAGTTGTTTTTTTTAAATCATTACAGCAAAGCAAAAAACAAGGTAATAACAACCTTTATTATGTTGTTTTTAACAGACATTTTATTGTCTTGGAACACATCTCATATTTAGAGATGAGGGTAATGGGTGAATGCATCTAATATATAAATGTTCTTAGTTTGGTCATGTAGTTAGTTGGTAGTTGCTGGGATATATCCAGTAGTTAAAAATATTATGAGAGAAGCATATTATAAGAGAAACAGTGTAACACCAAAGGATAGAGCGCTGGCATCAGCTGGGTTCAAGTTCAGCCTCTGATTCATACTGGTTGTGTAATTATGGCCATACTACTTAACCTCTCACTACCTCCAGGAGACTATCTAAAACTCTAGGTTGCAGAACAATTGATCAGTTATGTTGATAGATTAAGATTCAACACAAGGAGGACCCAATACTGATGAAATCACATCTCTATACACTGTTTCCAAATCGCTGGCTCGAATAGATTATAAACAGCAGGAGATGGTCAACTGTATTTTTTCCCCCTGGTTGAGCTTTGGCATGGCATTAACTTTTAAAGAGCAGAACCCTGAGATTTTCAGTAGGTAAGAGAGCATACTCCAATGATTACAATAGAAAGAATGGATTTTGAGCCAGGTTGTGGATACCAGTCCAAGCTCTGCTGCTTACTACTTGCATGACCATAGGTATGTCACTTATTAATCTCTCTGAGCCTCCGATTCCTCATTTATTAAATGAGGGGATGCTCAAGATAATTTCTGAGGTTGCATCAGTGAAAGTAACATTACCTGGAGATAACCTCAGACAGGGGAGGAGTAAGCAGGGAAGCAGTGAGGGAAAAGATCCATTTGAGTTAGGTATACAGCTGATGGGGGGGGTCATTTTTACCCATTGAGTTCTAGGGAAGGTTAACAATTCCAGCTCTAAATTTACAGTATGCTTCGATGAACATTTCTAGTCTTGCAGAAGTTGCCAAAAGAACAGGAAGGAAATCAGATGCTTGGTGTGGATGCCTCATTCAAACCATCAAGACATTTTCAATTTCTGCTGAGACACAACTAACCAATTTCCACTCTCAGCTTACTAGGTTCCAGCCTGCTGTACTACTGCTGACAGACGGCAGCAACCGGATTGTGTGTGTCTGGGTCTGGGTCAGAGTCTGTCCGTCCAGGCTTCGGGTTGAGGTTGCGGGTAGATTGTGACAATGTGACAAATTCCTTCCTAGATGCAACATTGTAAAGAGAATTGGAACTAAAATGAAGAATCGCTTGCCACCCGGTGGCGCTTGGATCTGACCTTGACTGGAGATACCTGAAAAAGGCCCTCGACTGGCTTACAAATTAAGGGAGATTAAAAGCCCTCCGCCCCACGCAGAGCGGGCTACTCAAAGCCAGTGACCCCCGAGTGCAGCCCTATCGTCTCCCCCCCCCACCCCTTCGCCCCCAGACCTACTCCCTCAATGGGCCCAGCCCAGCCCGGGCCTGCGCTCTCTAGCAGAGCTGCAGGGGCCTGGCCCGGCCCGGCCCTCCGCGGGCTCGCGCGTCGGCGCCCGCTGCGTCACAATGGGGCCTGGGCCTGGGAAGGCAGTCGGCGCGCGCCGCTGATCAAGTGCGGGGTGGGGTTGCCGCTGTCTCCCGGGCTGGGGCTCTGGTCCTCCGAGCTCTCGAGCCGAGCCGTGGCGCCTCCAGTGCTGGTGGTGGCTGGGGACTCTGGTTGGGGGTGGTGGCGGTGTCAGCCGCGGCGGTGGGGAGGTGACAACGACCTGAGCTCGCGGGGGGCGGGGGCAGGGATGCTGCCGCAGCCGCGGTCACCCGCGCTGCTGACCCAACTCCACTGAGGGCCATCTGGGAAACGGCCAGGATCGTGCCCGGGGCGTAGAGGGCAGAGCTACCGGGGCGGCGAGAGGGGGAGGTTTGGCAACGATGATTCTCCGACAGGAGGCTGGGAGCCCCCCGCGGCGGCCCGGAGCCTAGGCGGTGCATGCAGCCGGAGCTGTCTGCTCAGAGAGACCCTAGGTCCTTCCCTAGACAGTGGCGGCGGCCGCAACAGCGGCTTGGAACGTAGGGGGCCCCGGGTGCGCGCGACTCAGTCAGCTCCGCTGCCTCCTCCCCCTTCTTCCTCGGAGCCCGTTCCTCCTCCCCGCCCCCCCCTCACCCCGACCCCTCCTTCCCCAGGAGAGAGCGAGAGAGAGGATGGGCTCCCCCGCTCCGGGCAGCAGCGGCTGCGGCGGCGGCAGCAGCGGCAACAGCAACAGCGGCAGCAGTAGCTCCTCTTTCCTCCGCCAAGGCCAGATATGCGTCTTCCTGGACACCTCCTCCCGGGCCGTCGGGATAGGCTTCTCAGCCCTGTAGGTGAGTAAGGAACGCTGAGAGCAGGACTCGTAGCGGCTGCTGATGTAGCAGATGCTGCTGCTGCTGAAGCTGATGCCGCTGATGCTGAGGCTGGAGAGGGATGGGGATGGGGGTGGGGTTCCGAGAGGAGAGGAGGATACTCCCCAGCCACCGGGTTTTCTCCAGAATGTGCTCGGAGGAGTCCTAATGGCGGGATGCGAGCTCTGTTTCACTGTACTGCCGGCTCTAGAGCCATGTGAAGTTCAAGAATGTTTCAGAGAGAGGAGGGAGGACATTGCCCTTCCACTCTCCCCGAGGAAGAACTAGGCTAGGGGGCGGGGGCTGGACAGGTGGCTTAGCTGGTCGGAGGTGGGTGGACAGACAGGTGGGTTCTACGAGTTCATTGTATTTGTTCTGGAAATATTCCTGCCATCTTTTTCCAGCCCCAGGCGGTACCAGAATGGAGGAGTTTATTTTAGGGATGCACAGGAGGAGAGTGTGGGCGTTTATGCATTTCATGGCTTGAGGTCTTTCCTTCTTTCTTTATCTGACAGGTCGAACTCAAATTAGTGCCTTTTGCCTCTTTATCTGAATATTTTAGGCCTGGTTAGAGAAGGGCCGGCTTGCGGTAGAATGTATTTCAAACTGTTAGTGGATAAAAGAGGTTGGGATTTTTCTACGGCCCCTACCCCAGGGCCTCTATTTATTAAAGGCATATATGTTAAGACTGTAAGATTTGTCCTAGGTACAGGATGTGGGGTGGGAATGTACTGCAGTGTTTCACTGAAGGGCCAGCAATAGGCAATCATGTGTCTAGCTCAACTTCCAACCTGATCTTATTGCTTGTCTTCTAGAGAAATTGCACTGCTTTCTTTCAAGTTCAAAACAGAATACTTGACAAAATTCGATTTTCCTCTCACTCCTGTCTTTGATTTGAGGTTGACTTTAGGTGATTTGGTTCTTTGGAAAACGTCAGATGTTTAAAGAATCATCAACAGAGACCACAAATTGGAATGAAAATAGAAATTGATCTCATTGTCAGTACTATCTCACTTAATTTTTCTCGTTTGTGGATGACTCTCCAACTTGACTAATTTTCCAAAACTAGTTGGCATTTTCTGCCTTCTTGTTCCAGCCTATGGTGTATATATTCATAGTTTTTTGTGTTAATTGTAGTATAATCTTCCCCCAAATCCCTAAATCTAAATTAATCTTGTCTAAGCTTGCAGTTTTTCCACTGTAGGTGGTTTTTAAAAACCTATTTCAAGTAGAATATCCTTAACTACGTAAAGGAATAAAATTTAAGTTTTAAATGTAAAAATTCAAGTTTCTTCAGAGGAAAAACTCATATGATTTAGTGCCAAGTTTACTCACTTTGTATTTGAGTTGCAAAGTGATCTTTGGATAACTGTTTTATTATAGGTGGTCAAAATCAAAACAAATCTGGGGAGTGCCTGTTCTCTTGGGAAATTCTAGTTGAATCTAAATGTGTAATACCAGTCAGACTCTAGTCTTATATTTGTATAGGTTTGCTCACAATATAGCAGGTGTTTCCAGGTTAAGCAAGCCATTTCACTTCTGTGGCACCTTAGTTCCCTCATGTGTAAAATGAGAGGGTTGGACCAGGTGATCTCTAAGGGCCCTCCCAGCTGGAACATTTTGTGTTTCTATGAATCAATACAGCAATAGACATTGCCTGTTAGGATTTGTTTTCTACTCTCCATAAAATCCCAGGATTGCTCTTTATCCTTTACATCCATGGTTGTGTGTGACAGCTTCGGCTTCTTTCCAGCTTCCTTGCTTAATGACCAATGTCTCTTGAGATTACTCAGTGGGGTGTTGTTGATTTCAGTTCCTCTCCATTACCATTATCGTTATATACTTTTCTTACATGTTCATGTTACTATTTGCATTTTTCCCCTTTTCAACTGATTAATTTTCATACCTAGTTTTAGTTTTATTTACCTTCTAGCTGTTAGGGGTGGGGAGAGTTGGTTTAGTGTTTTGCAAACTCATTATGTGTCAACAGTGTGTGATATGGCAGTCAAAAAAATTAATGCAGTCTCAGGCTACATTTCAAGAAGGCATAATATCTAGGATTAGTGTCCCCAGTTAGTTAGTTCCCAGTAATCTGCTCTGGTCAGAGGACATGTGGAATTGTTTTTAGTTCAGTGTGCCACAGTTTAGGAAGGACATTTTCAGCCTAGTATTAGGTCCCAAAGAGCAACTTGGATGGTAAAGGGACCTGAAGTTAATATAAAGATCAATTGGGGAAAATGAGGAAATTTAATATAAAGATGACTTGGCAAGGACAATAGATGAAGAAGGGCTGTCATGTGGCTTGGCCCCAGAGGGCAGAATTAGGAACAGTGGGTGGAAGTTGCAAAAAGGCAGAGATATACAATTGATCCCAAAAGAAAAGGGGAAAAAAAAACAACTTTGAGCTATCCCAGAATGGAATGAACTGCCTCAGTTGGGCCGTCTTCATTAAAGGTCTTCAGGCACAACCTGGATGACCATTTGTTGGGAATCTTATAGAGGGGATTCTTGTGTGGTATGTGTTGAGTGAGATGGCCTCTGAGTTTGCTCCAAACTCTGAGAGTCTGTGACCTACTAGATTCTAAAAACATATGATAATACTGATTTTTATACCTATTTTTCCAGGCATATAACAGATGCTAAGTAAATACATGTTGAACTGAATTAAATTGGGTAGATTGTAAACATTCCTTCATAATTTTCTGTCTCACGCAACACATATTTTATTTCATTCCCATAATTGTTCTAAGACCTTTTTAGGCAAAGATACTTATATGAATATCTGATGTACTCTTTACAAAATAAGCCCTTAGTCAACTTCCATAGATTTAGATTCTGAAGGAATCTTACAACTAGCCCAATCTCATTTATAGGTGAAAAAACTGTGACCCAAAGGGATTAATAGCAGAGTCAGGAATTGAACTGAGGGCCTTTGCCTCCAAATCTAGCACTCTTTTCACTCTACCGTTCTGCATTGTCATTTGTTTGGAACCTTTGTACCTAATTGTGAAAATGTCTTAAAATAACATCAAATGTGCGTACTGAGACTTTCCAGTCAATCACAATGTTTACAAATATAGTTTTAAAATATTTGGTGGCACATTTAAATGTATATATTGAGTCACATGAGCAACTAGAGGTTAATACTTTGCTAAGATTGCTAAACAGTATCTAAAGCTACCAGTACTAGTAGTTCAGATAAGAAAGAAACTATTGCCAGAAATGGAGATCCTCGCAGCTAAGTAGAGCAGTGGGTAGAGTGCTGGACTTGTAGTCCAGAAGACCTGAGCTTAAATATAGGCTCAGACCCTACTGTGTGAAATAGCAGCTACCTTCTAGGGTTGTTGTGAGGATCAAATGAGATAATATTTATCAAGCATACCCGGAACATAGAAAGCACTTATGACATGTACCATTTGTAGTCATATAATGTCGATAGGTCTAGAGAAAGGCCCCAATATGTTGGATGAACTCCACATAGAAAACTTACAGGAGGACATAGACAGGTATCATAGAAGATAATAAGGCATAGATAAGTTGTAAACTGCACATTTGGAGGGAATATTCACATCTCTGGTTTCATAGATCCCTTAAAGTGTCTAAAGCAAAATGAATCAGTATGTTCTGGGTATTTTATAATTAGAGCAACTTTACAAATTCTGAAAATTGAAATTAAGACCATTATTACATAATTACATTTGGTAAAGATAGCATATATTCCTCATTAATTTCTATGAGTAATGTTCTAAATTTTTTTAATGGAAAGCAGTAATCACATTATAAAATACCTTGCAATTAATATACTTTGACCTTCATGAGGTTTTTTAAAAAATAATGAATGACTATAATTAGGTTATGATAAATCCAGATTTCAACTGGAAATGCAAATACTTCTCAATATAACTAATATAAAATTTTCTTTTTGTTGATCTACGTAGTAGAAAGAGTAGTGAACTTGGAGCCTGGAGCCTGAAGCCTTGGGTTCAAGTCTAGCCTCAGCCACAAGCTGTTTAACCATACATAGGCAACAGGGGAGATAGACAGGCTTAACTCTCAGATTCTCAGTTTCTTCATCTACAAAAAGAAGATGATAATATTTCTACTGCCTACCACAAAGGGTTGTCATAAGGAAAAAGCACTATGTAAATGAGTTTTTATTATTGTCATTCATTCCAGGATCCACTTTGGATCATCTTTATACTGACCAAAAGAAGTATGATGGTAAGCTACACTGTTATACTGCAGTTCTACAAACAGAAGTTTACACTGTTTGACCAAAGTTAGTATAAAGCATTTTTAAAACCACACAACTTCGATGAAGTAACTTTTTTTTTTTTAGGCAAGTATAAACTCAGCCTTTGTTAGTAGAGTCAAGCACACACACAAAAAAGATGTTTTTGGTTAATAGATGCACGTTATATGTTTGAGTAGGTCACAATATTATAGATTTATAGGTGGAAAGGATCTTTGAGATCGTCTAGTCCAACTTGTCCATTTTACACTTGAGGAAATTGAGGTCCAGAGAGATCAAGTGACTTGCCCAAAGTCATATAGGAAGTAACTGGCAAAGCTTGGATTTGAATTCAGGTCTTCTGACTCTAAATCTCATACTCTTTCCCTAAGGTTAAAAGGGAATGAAAGGAATAATAACTCTTCATGCTTATTTAGCACTTGGTACTTGGCTACTTCTCTGATTCAGGTAGAATGATCCTTTAGTCCTAATTCTCTCTAAATTTCAGACCTTTATCCCATCTCTAATCTTTACCAAAATCTCTCTATACATTCATTTCCTTCCTTCCCTCCTCCCCCTTTTCTTTCATTCTGTGTGTGTGTGTGTGTGTGTATGTGTGTGTGTGTGTGTGTGTGTGTGTGTGTGTGTAAAATGTCATGGACACTTTACTATGGAGGAAACAAATGAGTCGGTCAATGAACAAGCATTTATTAAGTACTCACTATGTCACAAGCACTACATTAAACACTGA